GCTGGGAGATATGCAGCTACTAACAGGAGGGAGGCAGAGGGTCTGTAAACAGCTCAGGTGCTTGTTCTCTCTGTTTTCATCTTTGCATTTGGCTTTCAAAGGCATCTTAATGGGTGGGGAGAGTTTGCAGTATTAGTGCGTCTGAATTGTCCTGTTCTAGTTTCCAGGGAAGAGCAGAAGAGGTGGGAAAGGAAGAGAGTGAGTCAGGGCAGCCAAGCTCCCCCCGGGCTTCACAGGGGAATGCAATGTTGAGGTCAGGTGTGTTTTGAACTGTGGTGTGAAGGGTATTAGCCTGCAGGCATTACACATCTCAGGAAAGAACACATTATCCAGCAGGAAACTCCGCCAACTGCCCCTAGAAACATCTGTATCTGATTGTAAAAGAAAGATAGGAAATAGTTTTGCCCCTATCATGCTGCTCCTAAATCCTGATCGAGCACAAGAGAAGGCAGCTGAGGGATGCTTAAAAAGTGCCGTGAGAAAATGAAGTGTGAACTAAGTGCCCATTCAATAATGAAACACATTTCTAATGGATTGCAAGAGCCCCTTCGTGGACAGGGGTCGCCTAAGACCATCCTGCATATCAGATATTTACATTACCATTCATAACAGTAGCAATGTTACAGTTATGAAGTAGCAACAAAAATAGTTTTATGGTTGGGTCACAACATGAACTGTATTTAAAGGGCCAGAAAGTTGAGAACCACTGCCATAGAGCCTTTAGTTGGTTTCCCCCACTGGTAACACCTTGCAAATCTAGAGAACAGTATCACAACCAGTATATTGATATTGATACAGAGCATTTTAATCACCACAGGGGTCACCCATGTTACCTTTTTGTAGCCATATCCACTCCTTAATACCAAGCAAACACTAATATGTAGTTTCTATCATTTTGTCATTTCAAGAATGTCACCTGGTAAATGGAATCAGACATATAGACTTCTAGGGTTGGTTTTTTCCACTTAGCCAAATTCTCCAGAGGTTCATTCAGATTGTTGCGTATGTCAGTAAATGTTCCTTTTAAGTGGTGAGTGGAATTCCATGGTATAACTGTACCAATTGGTTACCCCATTCACTCATGGAAGGTATGTAGGTTAATTCCAATTTGGGCTGTTGTGAAAAAATCTGCTATATTTTCACCCAGGTCGTAGTTTCTCTTTTCCACTCTTTCATAGGGTAAAAGTTTTTAATTTTGACAACATCTAATTTATTACTTTTTTATTTTCTAGGTTATTCTTTTGGAGACATCTAAAGTCTCTTTGCTTAGTCTGACTTCCTAAAGGTTGTCTCCTATATTTTTTTCTAAGACATTTATAACTTCATGTTTTACATTTACGTTCATGTAATTTAGAGTTAATTTCATATGAGGTGTGTGGCCGTCAGGCTCATCTTTTGACCTGTGGAAGAGCAATTGTCTCACCACTATTTGTTGAAAAGCTATCTCCCTCCATCAAAACGATTTCCACCTTATTAAAAAGCCAGTTGGGTATATTTGTGTGGATCTATTTCTGAATTCTCTATTCTGTTTCATTGACCTATGCATCTTTCCCTCCTCCAATGCCACACAGTCTTGATTAGTATAGTTGTATAAAGAGTCTTAAAATTGGATGGGATGATTCCTTCCACTTTATTCTTCTTTTCAAAATGTGTTAACTATTCTAGGATCTATGTTTTCCATATAAATTTTAAAAGAATCCTATCGATGTCTACAAAAAAGTCTTAATTAGCTTTTGCTAGGTACTGCATTAAACCTGTCTATCAATTTGAGGGGAATTGGCATATTTAGTACGTCGTCTTCTGAGTTACAATATAACATGCCTCTCCATTTATTGAAATCTTCTTTGATTTCTTTCTTCAGCATTGTGTAGTTTTCAGCATACAAATCCTGTATATGTCTTGTTAGATTGATGCTTAAATATTTAAGTTTTTTTTAGCAATTTTAAATGGTGATATATTTTAATTTTGATATCTTATGTTTATTATTAGTATATAGTAATATGATTGATTCTCTGTATGTTTCTCTTTTATCCTGCAATGTTAATGAACTATTTAGTTATAGGAGGGTTTTTGTTTGCTTATTTTAAATACATTCTTTGGGATTTTCTATGTTGGTAATCATGTTATCTGCAAATAGAGACCTATTTTTCCTATTTGGTTGTTTTTATCAGGAATGGGTGTTGAATTTTATCGAATGCCTTTTCTGCAACAATTGATGATCATGTGTTTTTCCTCTTTAACCTGTTGATATGATGAGTCACCTGTGATTTGTTTTAATTAAGCATGGTAAGACACGCAGTTGCTAAGAACAAAAACCAACAAAGTGTTACACTGTCATTGAATCAAGGCTTACCACCTTTTAAAAAAATCTTTATTATTGAAAATATTACGTATGTCTCCTTTTAAGGCTTGAGCTAGATCTGCTCCAGCTCCTAAGAACTGCACCTCCCCGAGGGTGGTGGGCCCTCTTGGGGACCTGCGGGACATTTCTGTGGCAGACAACTTCCCCTTTACTTGCAGTTTGCTAACAAGACCAGACTACATGACCAACACTAGTGGACATTGCCCGGAAGAGGGTTGTGTCTGCTAATTTTCCCTCCTTCACCTTTCTCTTTGCATCACACACACACACACACACACACACACACACACACACACGTCATTATTAATAATATGGGGTCAGGCTCATGTGAGAATACCCAGAATATTTGCACATTGCCTTTATTGCACAAGAGGCCCTTCATTTGCATTTTATAGATGAGACTTGAAGAAAAGTCATTCCGTTTCTCCTCTTGCCTAAACCCAGAAGTCTGTGGCATACAATTTTATGTGAATTTATCTGCCCATGGTCACTGGCTGAAGGAGATCAGTAGAAACGCACGGGGCCTTCAAGCTGGCAGACTGGAAGCCAGAGCCACCCTGGAGAGAACTGACAGGGTCCCAGGCCTGTGTTTTGTCTTTTAACCTCCCTCCTCCAACACAAATAGTAGACAGTTCTGATGGCTTTGATGATGGAAGTTCCATAGACTAAAGCTAAGGCTCTCTAAATATTTTTAAAAGATTAATATGTTCTTGGAGATTTTACCTTTTGCCTCTGAAATATTACTTATAGAGTTTTCTTCCACTTTACTAACCTAGAAATGTGTAATATAACAGACTCTCAGCAGAAATAAAATTCTTATTTAAAAGAAAAACACAGTAAAGCCCTGGTTTTTTAGCTAAACCCTTTCATTCTACAGCCCCTCAGAACCCATGTTTAATGTGTGGGATAATGGATTATATTTCTGAATAACATGTTGCAAAGGACCACAAAGTAAGATTAGTGCTTAGCACTTACTCCCAAGGAAAAACCTGGGGAGATGGCCTTTTTTTTTTTTTTATTTTGGAAGCAAAGAATTTTTAGATCCCAAACTGTTCCTAAAAGGGAAAAGACTGCCTTCTTAAGAACTTTTCTACTTCTGAATTCAGATTTGGAATAATGAGAGATTATGACAAATGTCCAAATTAGTGTAAATGTTCTCTCTACCCTTACTTGGTGGTTTCATTGAGCTTTTTAAAATAAAAGAAACAGAACAAAAAAATAAATACATTGCAAAATAAAAGACCTTTACTTAAATTTGTCTAGTGTAACCTTCAAAATATTTAATTTCTTTGTTCTATGTAAAATGTCTACATAGAGGCAAAAATATTTTTACGTTTTTCAAATGTCAACCCTAAGCACGGTTGCATATATTTACTGGAAACTAGGTCTTGGTGTGAAAGATGCTGAGAGAGCCTGTAGACTCAGAGTGTTCTGGAAAAAAAAAGTTAATAACCCTCTTTCCATGTTACTAAAAATGACCCAGGCAAGGCATTTCAGACACCTGCAGGAAGCAGCTAGCTAGCTACCTGAACTCTTAGCTCAGACAGCCAGGCCCCTTCTGCTTTCATCTCATCTCGCTAACCTTTGCAAAGATATTTGTTGCACTGAAATTGATTGCCAGCACACTTGGCAATTCAAATTGCATTAGATGTTCCTTCTTTTTAAATTCCATTAACCAAGATGAGCGCCATGCGATCTGGGAAGCCCTTCAGTGCGACCTCCGTGCTGTGGGACAGGCTCAGACTTTGTGATCAAGGCTCCGTATCCTGTGAATCTGATCAGCACTGACAGCGGCTTCTCGGCCTCTAAAACACACGCTTGTGCCCTGATCTGGATTCCAAAACTGGAGCCATTTTAAAAACGCTCTTAGTATTTCCGGATACTTACAAAATGCATTGATTGGCAGCAAAAGAGGAACTCCACGAGGAGAATTCATTAGCCCATCCATCAATAAGTGTCTTTTCTCTGGGACCTAGTATGTGGGTCCCAGGCTGAAGTGAGGACCTGATTCTGTAATCTGTGGAAAAGGTGCTGGTACCCTTGGTGTCCATGGATTCGGAGATCCTTTGAAATTCTTTTCCGACCCCTTTCTACAGAGCCACAGAGCCTCACTCACCCACAATGTACAGCCATTGTCATGGTGATGCGTGGGGTGGGGGTGGGGATCGGGGGCTGGAGCAGGTGAGCAGAGAATCCCAGTGAGGAGGGAGATCTGTTCTCAGGCCTCCTGGGAACAGAAACCCTGGTTCCTAAGGCCACAGAGAATTCTGATTCTCTCCTAACCAGCTGCACACACTCCTGCTATGTGGGTGGACACATAATTGTGACTTGGGAAAGGCAGGCCTGGCACCCACGCGCGATATTTAAGTTGTGGAGTCAAAGAGGTTGGGGAGTCAGGGCAAGGGGAACAGAGGACACCTCGGCAGATAGGAAGGGTGTGTTTTCTGTCTTTCCCACCATTAGTGAGAGCTTTCGAGAGAAGACAAGGTTGTCCTCCGGTTGTGGCCCTGCTGGCCCAGGCTAACCTGGAACGCGTGCTCACTGAGTGTGTTTCTCTCTTTCCGCCCCAGGACAGCTTTCCTGCCCGTTTCGGAGGAGTCCATTTCGTCAACCAGCCCTGGTACATTCATGCCCTGTACACGCTCATCAAGCCATTCCTCAAAGACAAGACCAGGAAGCGGGTAATGACAAGAAGCGCCCAATGCCGGGAATGTGGGGGAGGTGTAGTGGAGCGGGGGACAATCACAGTGCCCTCTCTCTCTCTCTATCTCTATCTCTCTCTCTCTCTCTCTCTCTCTCCTTCTCCTTATTTTTCTCCGTGGTTTTGCTGCGTTTCTGCAGTCCCTGAGCATTTGAGCTGCAGCTGGAGTTTGCAAATGGCCTGGATTCAATCAATAATTCAGTAGAACTGGGTTATTTTCAGAGTCCCAGTGACAAACCAAAGGGAATTTTGAAGGCATGCAAATACCAGATGCCCATTTTGCTGCCAATGCTGGGGGAGGTATGGGGTCAAGCAGCTTCCTGTTCACGGAATATTTTAATAGCCCACATTTAGGAAGAAGCCGCCACTTGGTGTAGGCCTTGGGGCAACGGGGAGTACTCAGGGGGGTGCAGAGGGCAGCGACTGCACCAGGAGAGAGGAGAAAGCACGTGGGCGGGGGTGGTCTGCACTACTACTCCGCATCAGCAGGGATAATTAGGAGATCACTGTATCTGTAAATTGGGGCCAGGGCCAAATACTACCCAGTTTGTTCATGAACTTCCTCTTTAAGGACTGTGAATGCAGCCCCTTTTCTGAGCAATAAATGAACATTTCATGAAGACAAAGTTCTAGACACAGAATTGAATGCCTCCTTAAGTACCATGATCAGCGGCGGCGCATCCAATTTGTCATTGCTCGATTGTGTATTAGATGAAATACTCCGTCAGACGTTTTGGAGTTTTTAATTGCTAATTACTTTCTCTTTCCAGATTTTCCTGCACGGGAACAATTTAAACAGCCTTCACCAGCTCATACACCCGGAGTTTTTGCCCTCTGAGTTTGGAGGAACCCTTCCTCCTTATGACATGGGAACTTGGGCCCGGACATTACTCGGTCCCGACTATAGTGATGAAAATGACTACACTCACACGTCCTACAATGCGATGCACGTGAAACACACGTCCTCCAACCTGGAGAGGGAGTGCTCCCCCAAGCCGATGAAGAGGTAAGGCCTGGCTTATCAGAGCCTCCAGTCCGAGGGCAACAGGCATTTTTGATTTGGGTCTATTGCGGGTTAAGTAATTGAAGACCTTTACGGGCACAGAACTTAAAAAAAGTAAATTGTGATACATGCTCAGCTGATTTCATCAGAATTGGAAGCAAATGGGACTTGGCTGGCCCAGAAATATAGCTGTCCCCTTGTATTATAGAAACTGCTAAAGGCTAGGACCTCACTCACAACATGATTACAGTCTAAGTCTCCAAGGAGTCTGCTAATGCCACAGACTGAAATGTTGGACCTTTGGGACACAGTGGATGGGAAAGCAGGATGCTAGGGAATGTCCTCGTCATCCGTGCATTTGGAGCCATTTATTGAGCATTTACTTAGCGGAAGGCACCGATTAGTCACTGGGAGTACAAAGGTGAGGAAGACATCAAAAGAACAGAGAGTGGGCCTGGAGAAAACCTGCAGAGCAAGACATTCCAGCTGAGCTCTGAAGGATGAAAATCAGCAGCCCAGCCTTAAAAGGGGGCGGGGAAGAGGCTCCAGGCAGAGGGGACACCCAGAGGCATGGAGGCACTAGAGCCGCGGTTCTCAACCTGTGGGTCGCGACCCCTTTGGCGGTTGAACGACCCTTTCACAGGGGTCGCCTAAGACCATCCTGCATATCAGATATTTACATTACGATTCATAACAGTAGCAACATTACAGTTATGAAGTAGCAACGAAAATGATTTTATGGTTCGGGGTCACAGCATGAGAAACTGTATTTAAAGGACCAGAAGGTTGAGAACCGCTGCCCTAGAGGGATGGGACACTTGACTGAGGTAGACAGGTGTGCAGGGGTGGGGGGTGACAGTGCACATGTTCTCAAGGTCCTGAGATTGTTCCACCAGTGGTGAAGTACATTGCATCGCTGCATACTGTGCC